ACAGACGGCGTGCGGCGCTGCGGGGTTTTAATTCGAATAAATCCAAGTTGACGAGGAGGCGGCCTTTTAAAATTCCAGTGATAACAGACCGGATCCACGAGGCTCGTCAACCGACGTAACGTCTACCGTGCTTTCTTTCTGTATCCTCTATTTTCTAGTCTGCCGCTATCCGAACCCTCTGATTGACTTCACATTTTATGTCGATATAAATAGAAAATTCACTCTTTTTTTCTTTTCTTTCAGAGTCACCGGTGAACCTTTTAAACGGACTACGATATGCCTTTTAATTAAGACTTAAAAACATATCCTCTTATGGGTTTTAAAAACGCGAATAAAATTGTACCTCACAATAATCGATTCAATTCAAATTTTTTTGTCTGTAACAACACTGGTGTGGAAAAAAAACAATTTTATTGCGCTAGTTCAGATAATCAGGATTCTTAGTTGCCGTTTTTTTTTTACTGCTGGAGATATTTGAATAATATTTCTGGATTTAATCAACTACACCGAAGAACAAACGCTGCTTATATTGTATATAGAAAATTGACAATTTAACGGTGGAATTTTACTTTAGAAATGTGTAACAATTTGATTCTTTTGTTCTAATGCAAAAGAAATATATTTTTCAATTTTTACTAAAATTTCAATTCTTATTCAGATTGATTATGCCAGTTTACATTACAAAATTATTTTAATTTTCAAATTCATTTTTCCATTACGAAAGAATACAACAAGGTCAATAATGCAGTTATTCCATTACCACAAAATAGCAAAGAGGTCGCTAGTGTACATTTAAGGAAATGTACGCAATGCAGATTTCTATTTGACCTACAACTATCTCCATTATCAATTTTATCACAGCCGACGTATAATAACGTTATATTATACAGATTGTCCCCAAAATCATGGTACAGTCGGCCGGGGTGGTGACTCTAGATACAAAAATAAATCGAAAAAAAGGAATAATATTTTTTGGGGTGATGCTTCGTTTCAAGATAATCGATTTTGAATATTTATTGGATATATACACGGGTAATAGAATACAACTTGACTAATGCGTCTATTCGTTACAGGCTGTTTCTACTTATTACCAGAACAAATAAACGTGATTACAAACTCATTTTTTTCGAAAACTAAGCCTTAAATGAGAAAATGTTATTCTTTTTTCGACTTATTTTTATATGTAGAGTTACCACCAAGCCGATTGTACCACGATTTTGAAGACATCCTGTATATTATATAATATGATATCGTTACAGTTCATCTGTACTAGTACAAAGTACAAACAGAGTTCAGGGATGCATGTTGAACAAGTGACTCTAATGCTCACAATTAGCCGTTACATATATGGTTCAAACGGCAAGAATCGTTAAAACTCTATGCAAAATATATTCAACCGTTATTTTTACCGAATTGAATAACCCAATCAGGTCTCGCTATATACAGATTGCTGCCAAATCAATCATTTTTACAAATAACATATTACCATTTAAAAATCAACACATTCACAGTTTTAAGAATAAATAATCATACCCACTGTCAAAGAAGATTTAATTCAACTTCAGATGACAATTTATCAAATCTATCATTATTATCATGATTCTTTCAGTCACAGTGCAAAATCTTGCATGCGTATGTAACACAAAGTAACGATCTAAAAAATTGTAAAGACCAACTGTAGCATTATTAAAGATGGAACATTTTTCTTTGTAATATAAATATTCTTTTCAGCAATATTTCCACTGTAAACACCTAGTGTATACAATAGTTTGCCATGCACAAAGAAGTAGTTATCCACTCTGTATACCTGTTTGAGCTGCTTCATGGTACCGATAGTGATTCCAACATAATTTTGGGCATTTCACAGATCATAATACTAAATAAAACCCGATCAATTCATATCGCAGTACTAATCCAAGAAAAAGAAAAAAACTATCTGAATGCAATCAATATTGTGACTCAAATTCGACAAGGCTATCAGAAAGTCGTCTAATTCAAGAAAAGAGGACTATCTGAATGCAATCTAATCCGAGACAAGAAACCTATCTCAAAGCAATTTCGATTTATTTACGACGTCCCATTCAAGAAATAGGAATTAGAAGCAATCGTCTCGTGATCATTCGCAGTGCTATTTTCTAAGCAACTAAGAAGATCAATATAGAGAATTTACATTACCAATGGAAACCGTAATATCAGTAAAATCAGTCGCCCGTGCTGTTTCGGACCAGTCCTCTTACAATATGATCGGAGACCGGAGAAATAAAAGAAAATCATGCAAGGACTTACTCGATCAGTATAAGAGCTCCGCATAAGACCTGAAGAATCTGAAAAAGAGTAACAAAATTCGTTACAACCTCTTCTCAAAACTTTAGTTGTTTCAGTTAAACAATGTAAGTGTAAGTAATAAAATAGTAAGATACTTACAGAGTTCATCGCAGTGCTATGCTCGAAGATATCTTCTTCAATGTTGCACTGACTCTACCACCACAAAACTAGTACTTTTAAATAGAAAATATAGAAAAATAATATTCTCTACTTTCAGGACTCAAAAATCAAAGGGAGTTCCGACACTCTGGAAACAATTGATAATACACTATAAACACTGATTCTATTTTCGCGATGCAACAAACTGATTCTATTACGTAAACAACACTGACTCTGCTCTGGCGCATTGCGCGCAGCCACCAAATTCTATGAAAGAAAAGTTGTTGTTTTAAAAAAGAGAAAATACTGAAGTCATAAGAATATATAGTAGACTGTCACTTATTTATTATAAATTACCAGACTCACCAATTTCCCGCCAAATCACGTCTGAAGGGGAAGTCAACTGTCATGGCGTCGATCGCGCGTTCTTTACAGCTGGAACTTTGAAACCGAAAATAAACGTTAATTCTAAACAACTACATTAAATTAAGAACGATTACGTTATAAATGAACAATTACTGAACTCGAACTGTGACGCGACAGACTGCAAATCATATCAGAACTGTGAAAATACTACATTGATACGAGATGGATAACGGACATCGCAAAAACCACTGCACCCTTTTCCGCGGTTTCGAATTAATTTAAGATTATCTAATCTAAGTTGGATAAATATTAAAAGAAAGTAATTATAGTAAGCTAATAAAGGTATTAATAATTTATATAAATGAATAGTGGTGAAAAGTAAAGGTCATGTACAAACTTCGACGCGAGCGAGCTCACTTGACGTCTTATCACTCCAGCTTCTCCGAGACGAATGACCCTTAGGCTGTCATCGACTGGTCATGATCGGTTGATTCGACTATCTTAGGGGAGTTATGATTGGTGGATCAGGTAGGTGAGGGTAGGTCCCCTCCCCACCAATTTCCTATTTCAACAAAAGAAAATATTCATAACCATACTATATTTCACTATCCCATCTTAATTACATGTATGTACCCGAGATTAGTTCAGCA